AGCAGCTTTCAGAAAGTTTTTAAAGGGCTGCTTTATTCCCCCCCCCTTTCATTCCTGGCAAATGCACAAATATCTAACGAACTCACATTACTTAAATAGAAACTAATAGAAGAGAGGGTTGTACAAGCAGTTCAGGATCTGATCACAAATATGCACTAAGCTGCTGGTTCTCCTGGGGTGAAATTCACCTTGAAGAGAGGCAAAAATTGCACCTTCGTAGCTCAGAAAAGGCAAATATCCTTCTTGTATTTTAGTCAATCCAGCTGTAGAGTGAAGTGGAAAGGCAGAAGAGGCATCTCAAGTGTTGGTCTTATAGCTTGATAGTTATTTATAGCAAAAGAGAATAATCATAAAATAAGATGAAAATATTTTGGTTTTATACTGTTATCCTAAAGTGAATCACAATCTCTGAACTAATAAATAATAGAGAGAAGTGTTTAAAAAGGAAAAAAATATTAATGAAAACATGATTTTATTTTTGTCTCTTCTGGAAGAGCGCTGTGCCAGATGCAGTAGTAAACATACCTCCTTTGAATCACTGGAAATGAGAAACGGGCATATACTTGAGCTTAGGTTGTTCATACAAGTTTATAACTGTTTTGGATCTTTTGAGCATTCGGGAAAATCCAGCCCACAGATTTTTAAACTATGATTCTGGCTACAGAGGCACTACACATTCTTTTTCTGTTTTTAATAAGTCTCTCTCTTTGTGCAACAAATCCTTCTAAAAAATTGTACCAGCAGTGCTAACCAATGGGTAGCAGCTAGAGACTGAGTGGAGAGGAATTGCTTTGGCTGGACAGAGACTAAGGGATCTGTACACCCAAATTTCTATTGTTTTTAATAGGAATTTGGCTTAAAAAATCATAGCTCTCATATGTATTCAGTGTCTAAGAATTGGAGGTCTCTAACCATGCATTCCTATCTTGCTGGATCCACTCTCCCACTGTCTGGTACACCCACCAGGGAGGCAGGTATGCCATTGCACACATCCTCTGCAAGACTCCTCACTTGTCAGGTGCACATTGCTGTTTTTCTGGTTGAGAGCACCTACCATCTGCTGGCTGGAGCTTATAGATCAAGGAAGGAAGAACCCGTGCCCCACCAGGAGTGCAGAGGTTACTTAATAATCTTAAGAAGGTTTACTATGTTATAATGTGGATTAGTTTTTCTCATTCTTTCAGTGGCTTTTCAGAAGATTATGGGAGACTTTATGGAAATGCAGGACACTTGTGCACTCTACGTGTATTCCGTACACTCTGGCATACTGTCATTCTGATTCTCCCATGCAAATAACCAAAGGAAATGGAAAAATAAATTCCAAAAAAGTCCTTTAATAACAACTGCAATTGAATATCTCAGTTCTGTTCAGATGGAAAATCTGAATGAAAACCTGGAAGCTTAAGTATAGGACAAGGGGATGCTAATTTAACTTCCAAAGACCTTTACGATTACTGGGAACTCTGTCATTTAGGATTATTTACAACAGGGCCAAGTATTACTGTTACTTTTTTGTAGCCAGTTCATCAATAACCGATGAATGAGGCTTATAAGTAAAGAATGTAACTTGGTAGGGTGGTTGCACACGAAGGGAATTTTTTGCAATAGCGTTTCCATTTCCTCTACCTATTGAAGAGACTTTAATTTCTACAGAAGAGAACTAGCTATACAGGGACAGCATTCATTGGTATGTAGGCTTATGAAAAAATTGCAAAGCAGTAGATTCCTGAGCAGAATTTCAGTGGTAGTGCAGTTAGATAAACACATGCTCACTGTAAGTTTGTTAATGTCAAGGATGACAGAAAAATGAGAAACTCATAAACCTTGATCAAGGCATCAAGACAATGGGACACCATAATTTTGACACAGGAATTTTTATGGATTGCATGAGACTGGCTGCACTCCAGAATTAGTTCCAGACTGAATTATAATTCCATTCTGTATCTTCCTTAATGTTAGAAACCTGAGTAGTGAGTGGTTATTACACTGAACTGTATTACGTGCACTGTTTAAGCACGCTGAGTACTGTACATGATTGTGACTCTATTTTTAAGTACACTTCTCTTTTATGTGTTTTCACTTAGAATAGCTCTGTAGGGTGATGTTGGACTCAACCCGTACACACGGTTCACGTGGTTCTAGAGGGAAGTCACATTATCTGCCAGTGCTGAGCATAAAGAAGAGGGGAAGTAATCTCCAAACTATATGAAGAGAATGTATCAACAGGTAATATTTTTACTTTCCTTCCCATTGTGGATGTTGCTTTTATACCAAGAAAATATGGGATCAGTGAAGATAAGGTGATGGCTGAAATTCTCCATGTATTCCCATACACAGGCAGCTTTCTGGCAGAATAGCACAATTAGTTTTGAAGGCAACTAAACCACCACAACTAATGGACTAGACTAATTTGAGGAATTTTATCTGAATGCCTCTTTAAAACTTGGGATATCGCTAGGTGTCACTGGCATTCACCACTTTCTCACCTACCTTCTCTTCCCCTATGCCAATGCTTTCTGGGCTAGTTTCTGCTGGTAAAATACCTACAGAACCTATCAGTCTTGTTTCTGAGTTTGTGTCACCTGCCTGTGTCCTGATCACATCAGTCTCTGGGTCTGCAGCCCACAGCTTGAAACTGAGACAAATGGGTTCTCATTCCCTTTCTTTTCTGTCTCACTTGTGTTTACAGAAAAAAAAAAAGTGTAAAAAAGATGTACAATTTCATCAGAAAAAGGTCTGTTTTGTGATGTCGAATCAAACATTCCTTAGGGTTTTTACCTTTCAGTCAGGAGATGTTGAGATTTTTTCACCTGTTTTGGTGGATGCAAAGATCTTTTACCCAGGAGAATGCTGTAACACTATCCAGTATTAGGGTTTTTGTACTTGGTGCCCTCCTACTGATACTCCTGCTGTATTTTCCCTATGCAGTATCCAGAGGGTAAAAAAGAGAATAATTTCTAGAAAATCTGTTTTAGAACATTTACTACAGAGGAAGGAAAGATAGGCTTCTATCCCTTGAGACTAACAGACATCTAGAAAGTGGAATAGTATTTTTTAAAAAGGAAGAAAATAAAAAGGTATTTATGGATGGATGGTGGGCAGGACAGCGGAAACTTGCTGTGGCATGTTGGTGACTGACATTCTTCTGGATGATGTAGGTTAAAAGTCTGTCCCCAGAAGAAGAACAGAAAACCAAGGCTAAGACTGATGAATGCTCTGATGTTTGGATTACAGCCTCCAAACTAGTTTGGAAGTGTCTATCTCTGTGTCTGTGTGTGTGCAATCTTATACTGCACTTGTTTCTGTGTTTCTTACTGGCTAGTTTAAGCAGCTTCCTGCTTAGTTTGCTGGTGTCTGTGTATCCCATTTCAGTGTGCCTGGAGGCCTCTGATTGATTTATGTGTTGCTGCCAGCTTGAGACAGCTAATGTGGTTATCACCTCTAGCTGTTTACCCCACCCTAAAGTGCTAAATAACTCCAGTGGTTCAGCAGCTGGTTTATGAACAGCTCAAATATCAGTGCAGGGAGGGTGAGGGGCACACTTGGGCACAGTAACCTCATCAGCTGTGTGGGGCTGAGCCGTCTCTTCTTGTCCACTTGAACTCGTGTCCCCTTGCACGGCACAGACCAGGTACAAAGTAGAGTTTCTGTGGCCTGGTCCCCTTTTGAATTTAGCTTAGATGCAAAAGAAATATATTTTATAGTGCTGAATGTAGCCTTCTAGTACAGTCTTCTCAAATAAATGTCTAAACTCTGAGCATAAGGAGGAGCCTTATTTAGCAGATGCAAAATTGGGAAGCCCTTTGAAGGCTAGGGAAGCCCTTTCTGTCTATACCTGGAAGTGGGTATCTCAGGAATGTCATTTGTAAAGGAAGACATCAGAGACTGGGATTCAGTTAGGTACTTATGTCTCTGCTTCTGGTCCAGTTTTTTAGAGTCTTATAACTCTAACTGGAAAAATGGACACTCTTTTAGAGTACAGTGCACCTATGGAAAATGACTCAAGTAGGCCAAGTGAAGTGTGCCTGGAAGAGACCCATTTGCCTGTCATGAGCCTCAGGTGCAGACCCCCAAAGTGAGATGAGATGGATCTCTGCTGCAGGAACTGGAACTGAGCTGGGCAGAAGCTTATCTGGTGATTCAGTGGGTCAAATGTCTATTTTGATAGTCCTTTCTATCCAGGCACGGTTTCTTTGTGTATCCAGGGCTTCACAGCTTGCACCTTTGAGAAGGGCATAATGTTTCTGAGTGCTGGGATTGCTTGCAGCAGGATTGGGTTTGCCTTTCTCAAATGTTTCAGGGGAGGTGGAGGAGGGCAGCTTCCCTGCTCTGGGGCGGGGGGGGGGGGGGGGGNGGGGGTGTAGGGTCTGTCCTGAGTGTTTGCACCTGCTGAGCCTCTGCTGTCTCCCTTTGCTTTGACCCATACAGTTAGGTATTAGGGGCATTAGGACATGGCCACTGTACTCTGCCCCCTGGATTCCTTTTTCCTCTCCACATTTTTAAGTACTGCTCAATATGAAGTGCACTCTGGTCTAACTGGGAATCCTTACCTGTTTGTTCATGGCCCATTTTTGCAGCTGTCCCCAGCTCATACAGGAAAAGGCACAGTTCCTCTTAGGCACCCAAAAAAAGGGTAATTTCTCCAAAAGCTCACCTATTTCTCAGTGGCTTTTTTGTGGTGTGCATGTAGAGTCACTTGGCTTAGGGTTCTAAGCTCAGCATTATGATTTAGAGAGAGAAAAGAAACTTTTTGGTAGAGATGTCGACAGTATCACTTGTTCTGGGTTTCTGGGAGACGTCTAGCTGATACAAACTGCAAAAACAAATCTCTGTGAAAAGCTGTTTTAAATTAGAGAATTTACCCAGTTGAGAGAAAACTGAAGTTTCTGTTTTCTGTCCAGGCTAGAATTACAAAGGTAGATGCATACAAATAATATTTTTCCTTGATTTTTTTTTCTCTAGTTATTTTCCATTTATTTATCTTTTGTTTACAGTCCCCATGCTTATATAACAACACTCAAGAGGAAGCTGCTAACGAGCCCATCTGATGGTTTATGCCAGCTGTTTTAGTTGAGGCATGCTGGATGCAACTGAGCTCCACCTTCTTCGTCGAGGTATATTATACAAGTGACACCGTAATATATGGTTCAGTCAGAATGATAGCTACTTAACCTCTTGGTACTCTTTTCATTAATTTTTCCTTGGATCAGTTATTGTGTTTTGTCTGTCACAGAACTGGGTTGAAAACTGCTCTGGGCATGGAATGTGTCATTCATTTAAACAACATCAAGGCACACTGTTCATGTTTAATTATTACTTTAATGCAAGTGCTAAACTGTTTTCAGTCACATCTAACAAACATGTTTTCTGGGACTGGTTGCTGGCTGACCTCAAGTAAGGGCATGTTAGGTTAAGCCTTGAAATGCTGCATCAAGCTGTCATCTCAAATAGAAGTCAGCTCATTCATCCTCCTGTGAACTATCATATAGATGAACCGATGGAAGCAGGATATATTAACTGCCCATCAGAAAGGACATTGCAGTATGCTGATTTATGATGAGAAAATTCTAGAGTAATCCTATTGATGATGTTAAAAAACATCTGTTCATAATGTCGCAGTAGCTAAGCTAGCAAAACTGCGTAGTAGATGAAAGCCACCTGTTGATGCAGTCTTTAAAAACAATATATAAATATTTCTGTTGGTGCTGTTGCATCAGTTCTTTTTCAGGATATCTATTATGGCATGACACATTCATTTGGAAGTGGTCAAGATATTTATAGGCCCAGTTCCAGAAGACATGAGCATGTGATCAATGCTCTTGCTTTCAGATGCTTGAAAAACCAGTTTGATGCAACATTTAGAAGTGAATGTCATGCTATGTTAATAACTGAGAGAAAAAAATCTAAGTAGACTCTTTTTCAGGATAAGGTGTTTGTAGAAAGCAAGGTTTAAGCTGCATGTACTTGGGAGATCATTGTAAAGGATTAAGGACAGAAAACACCACGATACCTAATGCCTTGGTAAGGGTAGGATTTGCTGGGTTTTGAAGTATTCCAAATAAATTACATTCTGAGCAATGAATTTTGAGACATCCACAGTCACTTCATAGGGCTGATGCATTCCAATTTTTATCTAAGTCAGAAGGTACATCTGCTTCATTTGACCTTCCTTTCACCCTGGATCTCATCATTACTCCATATTAGTGGTTGACTAATACAATGACAGCACTTAAATAAAGATGCAGACCTATTTAAAACTTCCTACAGACATGATCTTAAGGCTTGAGAGTCTTGTTTAGTTCTAAGTAACATCTGTTGGGAAAATCCATTATATCTGCCAGTGGATTTGTTTTGACATTTGAGACCAAACTTTCCCAAGTTCTCCTTTTTCTTTTCTTCTTTCCTGCCAATCTTTCCTGTTTTTCCACTGAACTGATGCTCATCACTATCCTTTCTTCCTGCTGATGGCAGTGGGAGCAGCCAGCAGGGCTTGGCTTGACAAGTACCAAATGAGGTTTATATGTGCCAGGAATGTGTAGTCATGTTAGTGACAGCCACTAGCTTACCAGTTATTGTACCAGGATCTTTTGAAAGAGGACTTGCAAGTGGGAATGACTGTGAAATCAGTTGTCTTTTGCTGCCCTTAATGTAGAGCCATTAAGACTTTTAAAATTTCAGCTTAACTTTTGAGTTTGAAGAAAGCTTTCTTTGTAAATTTCCTGGCCCAGAGTGCTCTTGCTTCATGCTCTTGACACGGTACTCTGTTGGTTTGTCCTGGTTCGAAGGAATAAATCCTGTTTTAAATTTCCTTGCTTTCTTACAACAAAGGGCTCCGGAGGAAAGAAAATCTTTTAATCCTCCCAGCAATAACCTGACATGACCTTCTAAACACACTATTAACTCAAAAATATTAGCAATATTTTGTAGCTGTCTTAAGAAGAGTTTACAATAGAGATGGACAAAATACTTAGAAGAATAATTATACTTGGATCTGAAGAAATTAGTATCCACAACACAATTACACGTTTAAAAAGAGCTAAATGTTAAAAACTCTTTAAAAAGCCATGCAGTGGGGTATTGTTCAGTAGCACTGGCAGAATACAACCAGTTTTCTGCATGGTCTTTCTAGGCTTCTGATTTCCTGACTGCCTTCGCACAAATTATTTGCCTTCTCTGTGTTCTTTAGTTACTCCAATCTGTTTTTCCTTTCCTTCGTAACTGCTCCGCTTTCAGATGTTCAGAGCTTTTTTTTTAATATGCTCAATATGGGATACTTTTGGAAGATCTGCAGTAGGAGACAGTTTTCTGCAAATCTGGTCTCTGCTATGTCAGTAGGCTGCCAACAATTGCACACAGCTTAAATGTCAAATAGGTAATTTTTTTGTAAAAATTGTATAACGTTGTTCTGGTATAAGTACGTTAACATAATTTTTTTGAAAGAAACTTATAGCACTAAAATATCACAAAGGTAACAACTTAAAATTAGGTATCCAGCACTCTATTCTGACTGGAGTCAGAGAGAGATGACATAGCATGGGATGCATAGTAGAGAAATTCAGAGAAAAGTCAGTAGGAAAAGCAAGAGAAAAGAAATTCAAGCTTGCTTTCTGTCTCTTGGATTAAAATACCTAAATTCAGAGATAAAATAGAGGTTTGGAGCTAGAAGTTTTTTTGCTAATTTATGTACCTCAGGTGGTCATTTTGGTATGCAGCAGGTAACACTTGTGCATTCCCTCATAAAAATACTTGCTAAATCCTGCTGCCTTTAGTCAATCATTCTCCATTATGAATTTCCATCAAATATCTGGTCTAAACCTGGTGAAGTCAGTGAGAGTCTTTCAATTGCATCAAGCACAAGCTGCACAAAATAATGGCTAGACCCATGGAGAAACATGAGGGATATGATGCCTCAAAGCAGGATGTACACAGGTACCCTCTGTTGCTGTGCACCAGCTGGTTGCCTTAGAGCCAATAGTAACCATGTTCACCCTCTGGAGAGAAGAGTACTCCAAGGGTAGAGTTCCCTCCTCAAATTCAGATTTGAGCTCTGATGAGCAGATCCAATTAAAGTATATGCTGGGTGCCAAGTTCTCCTCCTGCTGTGAGAACATTTTTGAGTCAAGAGGTATAACACAGAATAGATAAGGTTGGAAAGGACCACCGGAGGTCATCTTGTCCAACCTTCTTGCTCGAGGAAGGTCCCCAACAGCCCATTACTCAGGATTGTGCCAAGACAGCTTTTGAGTATCTCCAGAGAAGGAGATTCCACAACTTCTCTGGGCAACCTGCTCCAGTGCTCAGTCACCCTCACAGTAAAGAAGTTCTTCCTCATGTTCAGGGGGAAACTTGCTGTGTGCTGGTTTCTGCCTGTTGCCTCTTGTCCTATTGATTACCACCACCGAGAAGAGCCTGGCTCCACATGGAGAAGTGTCATGGCGGGAGAACTGTGGCAGGAACAGTCAGGTATGAATTACCTGTGTCTTCAGTGTCCCACTTTTGCGGCACAGGCCCTCTCTCATGGCAAAAGAGAATCACTGGCACTGTGGAGGCTGGAGCAGCAGCTCCACTAACTATTCTGCTGGCTCTAACAGAACACATCCCTGTTGTGGCTGGCAAGGTATCTGTAGTGTCCCTGGTCACAACTGGGATCAGCCCTGGTCTGGTTACCAGGGTAGCCCCTGCTCCCTCAGCCTTTCACAAGCAAATCCTGAGTGCAAGCAGGTATCTAAATCTCACATTTTTTGATGGCTGAGGCCTTCTTCAGTGCCTTACTGCCAGGGAGTGTGCTTTTCCTTCTCCTGCATGGGTTTGAAATACCCTCTCCATTGCATGTTTTCAGCCACAACAGTCATGTAGCTCTACTGTTTGGATAACACCTTACTGAACACACTCAGAGGTAATTTAGAGGAAAGTGTCAGGGAAGCCTCTCTACCCCACTGACATTAACTTTGCAAAGACCTATGGGATCTTTCCCAATTATTCCCCCTTAGCCCTACTAGACACCCTGTGCAAGACCCTCACAGGTTGCTGCTGCAGGGACAAGATTGTGATAACTATCAGATATGTCCTTTACACATTCTTGTTTAATTAAAATTATGTTCCATTAGTCTTAATTTCTTTGAACATCCTTCTTCATTCAGTTCCAAGTCTTCCAGCAGCCATCACTTTGCCCAAAAAGCTTTCTGCTTTTCTTTGAATGTTGAACTACTGTCTTCACTAGCCTCTGTGGACCCATCTCTGGAGTATCTTCTTGTGTTCATGCATGTTTTTTTTTCTTCTGAAATGAAATAGTTCTTATAACAAGCAAGTCCAATTCCTGCTTCTGCATTTGACTCTGGGGAAGATCCCTTAGGCGGCACCGCCCAGCTCCTCCTCCAACCTTGTCACGCTGATTCGTGCTTTAGCCTGTAGCTTCTATTGTTGTATTTATTGCTAAACAAAAGGAGTGTTTTTTTGCTCCCTCATTTAGGGTGAGTAGAAGATAGTTATGTCCACCAGCTTCCCCAAGCTTTGTGACTGCACACTGATAGATGGCTTGCTTGCTGAGCACCACCTCATCTCCAGCAAGGCGGTGTGCAAGGAGCCTGATGGCCTGACAAATTCAGTAATTTTGGCCAAGTTCATAAGGGTCTTATGTTATTCACGGCTTTTGATGAACTGCATATTCCTCACTGATTTAGCGGCCGACTTGTGATGTTTTTCGATGAGTCAAATCTCTGTAATAGTGACCCTACATCCATGTATGTGGTAAATGTGAAAGAAAACAGATGTCTATAAAAATCACTGAATCTGATTTGGAACAATGAACAGTATTGTGGTTAATCGTAGCTGTACAGCTAATGTGAAGTATTTTTATAGGATAGGGTGAAAATTGCTTGTTTCACACCTGTATTACTTCTATCTTAATATTTGAATTCAGCCAAATAAAGTTAAGTACAGGTTATTTATTTGGGGAGTAAAGGTATAATTACTACTGTGTTTTAGAAGTTATAGTACAGTATTGCAACCATAAATTCATTTCAACATTGTTTTTTTTTTCCTGGCAATATCTGCCCTGTGTTTATATGTAAAAAGAAACAAACAGTAGCCAATAACTAACTGTCATCTAGAAATG